TGTTTATATCTCCGGAATCTATTAACCGATCTCAATAAAATTTGGTACATATAATGTATGATAGTAGGCCTTATATTCCCTGAAATATGAGCTTTAAAGGTTCAACCAGTGGTGTACAACTGGACAGGGGTCACCCCCTTTTTTACAAAAAAACCTACGCCACTGCATTTTTTACATGTCATTGTAACTGATTTATATTTTAATGCACAAAATACGTAAAAAAGGTGACTTTAATTTTTTCCCTAAGATTCGCCGTTCTCAAGTTATTCATACCAATACAATCCCCTTGTGGCAGACACTTCTAACGATAATATTACAAGAATATTTGTTTATGTTTAAAAGTAAGTGCAATTTGTAAGCACATCAACAAAATTATTTACACTCCTTTCTACACCACCTGTGAGGTAGTGTGCGATATAAACAAAAAATCAATTTTTTTTAAAACCTCAACACCCTGTATCTCTAAAACGGGGCCGTTCCAGACCTATGTTTATAAGGCAAACACATATTATTTTAAAGAGATCTATCTACCCTCGAAGTTTCCTGCATAAAATTCGGACCACCCTGTATTTCATTATCTACACATGAATAAATATATAATAAATGCTAGCTATAAATTGGCTAGTAATATTTAAAATTAATCAAGTACATTGTAAGATCTTTAACGAGTGGGAATCCAAAGTAAAATCTAAAGCTAGGATAATTCACTTTGAACAAGAATTAACTGGAGGTGGCATTGCTGTAATTTTAACAAATCTAGGAAAAAAAACTTGTGGAGGTTTTGCCAAAAATACTAATATATGGGCACCCCCAAGTTGTAGAATTAGGTTACAAAAGAAAAAAAAATACATGAATCAAATAAACAGAAAAGGACAAAAAGAGCCTTTCATTATAAAAGTTTTTACATTAATTTTTTATTATTAATTATTTTGCATTTTCACCTGAACCATTTGAGCCGCATGATATGTTAATGAGTCACATCGAAATGTTAGAAAAAACTTCAATTATTTAATAAATAGTATATTTATTTTGAATGTGGCATTGGAAAACTTGTTAAAATCTATAAATAATTAGAAACACAAATATTAAATTAAAAATATTTTATTTCATATGGATATTTTTATTAATATAAAATATTATTTTATTAATATTAATTATACAGGGTGATTCAGAACTTTTCCAAAAAAAAAATTTTGGATGTACACATTTTGTAAATAAAAAATCAAAAAGGGCAGTTCGAAAATGATTTAAAAATACACTTCTGCACGGCACTGGAAACTGATCCACTGTAGAACCTGATCTTGCACAATGCGACTGGCATGGCGGTGTGATAAAAACGGACAAAAACTTTCGCAAGGAAAGAAATAAATGCAATTTTATAGCACCTATTTTATATCGGCAAATCAACTGCTTTTGCCTTTATTAATTAATAAAATTAATTTGTTTTTAAATAATAAAATCATTTGACATACCTACCCGATGTTACAACAACAATTGTTCAAAATTTTATCCACCAACGTGTAAACACATTTGGGTCCGTCTTACTCAGTTTCTACGAACTAACACAAATATTGTCTTGCTTGCTATGCTATACAGCATAGGGCTGAATAAGATACTGTCATTTCAAATCTTATTACCAAACCCTCCCAGAAAAATCAGCTTGCTGGTTGTCACCAACCATAATATCACCAAATTGACATATTTGGAGTGGGGGACAAACTCAAAATGCCAAAATTTTTTTCGGACAAATTTTTTGGGGGGTTTAAAAAAAATACATCTTTCATTTAAACTTAAAAAAAAGTGCTGGTCATAACATTCCATGTTTATGAGAGATTGACATGTTTTCCTGAACATCAGGGGAAAACTTACCACTATTGAATTTTCCTCGTAGTCAAATCTTGGGAGACTCGTCAAACTTAAGCTGCACGCAAAGTTACAGCTTGCTACTAATCATTTTTTTCTTTGTACGTGGGTCCGTGGACTATAAAGAATTGTCGAAAAATGATAAATCTCTAATAACAGCATGCTTTGATTTGCAGAAGGTGTTAGTAAGACTCAAGTCAGAAGTCAGTGATTTTTATTATAAAACTAAAATTACAACATACAACTTTACAATTTATTGAAGAGGACCGGATGAAATTGGAAGTTGTTTATGGATCTTTCTAAAAAGTGTTAAAGAAAATGGCATACGAAAGGTTATTCTTTATTCCGACAATTGCGGTGGTCAAAACCGTTATTGTTTTTGCGATGTTTGCTTATGCATCAATAACTTTGGATTTGGAAATAACACACCGTTTTCTTAAAATTGGCCACACGCAGAATGAAAATGGCAGCATGCATGCTGATTGAAGTTGAAAAAAAAATGTCACTCTGCTATATACACTCCTGATCAGTGGAGGTCAAAGTTACTGCCCCACAGTACAAAGTAAAAGAAATGTCTCAAGAAGATTTTGTAACTTTTAAACCAATGGTAAAGAAACAAACTGGAAAAAAAATATTACTGGACAGGCTGTAAAAATCAGCAAAATCAGAGAAATCCACTGCGATTCAAAGTCTCCCATTAAAGTATTTTTTGTGTATAATTTTGGAGAAAATCATAAAGAACTAGACTTACAAACAAAAAACACACGCAACCGCGAAGAATATCAATTTCCAAGATTGTATCAAGGTTTGCTGCCAATTGATGGTAAAAAATTAAGCGGTCTTTTGGGTCTGTGTAAGGCTAATTTGATACCACCGATGTATCATGGATTTTACAACTCCCTTCGGCCTGCTAGTAACATTGACCACCAGGAAGAAAGTAATATTGACGAAGAAGATGACTGACTCTGAATCGTAATAAATTTTCCTTCTATGTCATTATTGATTATTAACAATTATTTTTTTATCTAAAAATAGAAAATGTTTAATTTTTCTGTACCTTATTAATGTAGCAAGGTGTTTCTCAATAAAAGTTTTTGTCAACGAAAACTATAGTAACTCATTCAATATCCATTTTTTTCTTATCCTAAACTATTTTATTTAGATCATCAATAATTAATTAAGACCTAAACAATAATTACTTTGTTAAAGAACGATTTGGCTCTGGTAATAAAAAAAATAACGAACATTATTATTTTCTCAACTATTCAAATGCAATTATCTCAGTATAACCAAATTTGAGATACGACAGTTTTCCTTGGGAGAGTTGATATGTTGGTCGGCAAACTGATGAGAGCTAAGTTGGACATGTTTAGTGGTTCTACCGATGAATGATTTTAACTGTTTACTAGTTATTGAGGTTGTAATTCAATGCTAGTCAAGGTTTTAACCCATAAAGTAGTTTTCTACAATATTCTTATAATATATTAAAAACTGTAAATAACTCTTGCTCAAATATTCGACTCTGAAAAGAGACAATTAGTGTTGGGAGAAAATATGGATAGTTTTCTCTGTGAGAGTGATGCTCAAAATATATTTGATGTTTAGACGAAGGCAAATGTAGTGAAAATGACAAAATGAATTTTATACTTGAGTGCGTTTTTTGGCGGTTTGGGCCATATTTTATTGTCTGGGCCTGTTTCAGTTTTATTATAGAGCATTTGATTACGTTTTGGATACATTATTTAACCAATAAAGAAGTTCTATGTTAATCAAAAAATTTTACCATATACAGGGTGTTTCTAAAATAGGGTTCCAAACTTCTGCTGCATTTGTAACTCATTAAAATAAGCCAAAAAGTTCCTATTAACATGTGCCCTAAAACGCACCCTTAGGAAGTTATACTGTTTTTTTTTTCTGTTATTGACAAAACGGTCGCAAATAAATAGAAAAAAATTTATAGGTCTTACATAACTTTTTACGTTAAATAACATGGGCTACTCCGTTTTTCGACATGCAAATCATATGCGTCCCATTTAGGTTGGTGAAGGGGGTTTTCGGCCCGTAATTTTTTTTATTTCAATTTTTTTACAAAATTTCACTACATATTTATAAAATCTTAACAATTTTACGTAAAAAATATTATCTTTGTCCAAATCGATATTTCCAATGGTTTTCGAGTAAATTGAGTTTGAAAATTACTCGGCTCTTTAAGTTATTAGGCCAAAAATTATAAAAATCTGTTTAACCATGGCAAATAAAAGACTGACGTTGCCACAACGCTTAACAATTTAAGTTATTGATAAACTGTCAATTGAGCTTTGCAGTGTTTAATTAGTAAAAGTGGTGAGTGGAAAATTTAAGTATACAACATTATTGCAACTCATAAAATGGAGTCATATTCAAAGACAGAAATGGCAGATATGCACTTGAAATACCTGTCGAGAAGGAAGTCTTCTATTCGGGCATGCTGCCGCATACAGACGCCTCGCTTCTGATGCATTTCCAGCCGCACAGCCGTACATAAAGTGCATATCTGCCATTTCCGTGTTTGAATATAACTCCATTGTATGAGTTGCAATAATGTTGTATACTTAAATTATCCACTCACCACTTTTACTAATTAAACACTTTTATTTGCCATGGAAAACAGATTTTTGTAATTTTTGGCCTAATAACTGAAAGAGCAGAGTAATTTTCAAACTCAATTTACTTGAAAACCATTGGAAATATCGATTTGGACAAAGATAATATTTTTAACGTAAAATTGTTAAGGTTTTATAAATCTGTAGCGAAAATTGTAAAAAAATTGAAATAAAAAAAATTACGGGCCGAAAACCCCCTTCACCAACCTAAATGGGACGTATATGATTTGCATGTCGAAAAACGGAGTAGCCCATGTTATTTAACGTAAAAAGTTATGTAAGGCCCATAAATTTTCTTCTATTTATTTGCGACCGTTTTGTCAATAACAAAAAAAAAACAGTTTTGTTTGAGCCCTTTTAAGGGCATATAACTTCCTAAGGGTGCGTTTTAGGGCACATGTTAATAGGAACTTTTTGGCTTATTTTGATGAGTTAGAAACGCAGCAGAAGTTTGGAATCCTATTTTAGAAACACCCTGTATACACAATACCATACCTGAATAGCCTTGTTCTGTTGATCAGAAGTTTGCGTGGAGCAACTCCGATAATCGTCGGACATTTTTATAGAACTCGTGCAGCTGGAACTGCTGCGCAGGGACTTGCCGAGCTGACTTATCGTTTCAGCGGTTATATCATTGAAGCTAGTCCAGCTGTGCTGTGTCACCACTATGGGAGATTCATACACGGTAGATGAGGAACTTCCTGTCGAGCTCTTGTCGTCATCCTGGAGGAAGTGCAAGAATGGGTTATTCGGATTTAGCTTAGTCATGTCTATTTCAGTATCTGCGATCCCATTTAAGTCTTTAAGGAAGGGATTCGTGCAAGTGGTGGTACTCTCTTGAAGAACTGATTCATTTTCAGTTTCTGTACCATGCACATTGACGGATTCTTGATCATTGCTTTCCACATCAATAAATAACTCATCATCCAGGAAACTTTGAATTTTGAGCTCCGATTCTGCCTTTAATCGGTTTATGATAGACAAAGGGTGATCTTCCGGTAAAAGAGATATTTTAATACTATGTAAGTGAACTTCAGGCAACTGTAAATCGTAACTGTGATCACTAAGTTGGTCAGAATTCCCATTGCTAGCATTTTCTTCATCTGAAAGCGGACTGTCTTCAAATGTCATCGTGCATAAAAGATGGTTAGATAAATCTATGTTGCTTTCCATGTCATTCGAGTCATTAAGTGATTCCATTTTTACAACAGGACAATTTACACTTTCTTTACTTTCATATAACATGGAACACTTCGCATTATCTTGCTGTTCCCTTTTTATAAAATCCAAATTGCTCCTTCTATCAGTGTTATGGCACGGTTCAGGTTCGTTTGTAGGAATCTCGCCAGGTGCTTCAAACTTGCAAATATTGTTAATATCTTTCATAATATCCTCCGTTACTATTAGATCCTTCTTAAGTACATTTACAGTTTCTTTCTCCTTCGTATTAAGCTGCTTCAGTTGTTCAGCCAGCAAATTCAAATCCGTCGGATAACTTTCTTGCTCCTGCTTTAAGTCTTCATCGGCATCTACGAAATCCTCACAGTTAATACAACTATGATCCCCCGTTACTGATTTTTCGAGAAAATGTACTATTTCGTTCTGGAGTTTCCCGAAAATTGACAAATCTAGCTCTTGGGTTTTGAACATTTCGCTGTCGAAATACTGAGAGTAGGGAATTCTGCGTTTCTCTTTAATGCAGTACTTCTCATGAAACTCTTCCGACACTTTTATAATGGTTTCCTCATGACTGTGGTCAACACAGAAGTACTGTGGGTAGAGGAAATTTATGGGGACGTTACATTTGTGGAAAACTTCCATTTCGGCAGTGGACGGCGCTTGGCCATGTTCAAGTTCCAAGAATGTCGGGAATAAGTGTAAATATTTGACTATTGGCGTGAATAAAGGGGCTATGATATGTTGTCTCCTCTCCTGAAAAAAGTGAAAATAATGTAGTTTCTGGGCAAGGCGTTATGATTATTTATTTTATAAGTAGGAGAACGAAACTTTTTTACATAAAATATTCCTTTACATTTAATTTGTTTTTGGCACTTTTGAAATCAGTAACAAGTCTGTTATGTTGTTTAGGTGAACATGTTCTAACATTTGCCCTTGAAGCCTTTGCTTTTGAGAGGTGTTAAAAAGATGTTTGAAGTTTAAAAAGGGTGTAACTTTAAGAGAGTCTAATTTTTTATGGGTAATAGTAAGTATTCCCCACAGTACTATTCTGATATTACTTTTGTTTAAATAAAATAAATGGTTATAATTCATTTTTTAAATTGCACATAGATTCTTATTTACACAGCGGCTGGGCAACTTCCAAACTTAGTAGTATCAGCATGTTACTAATCTGAGAGATTTGAAATGTTTTTCAAATCATTTCAATGTTTTAACAAGAAGTATTGGTTATTATTTTTTAAAGCACTGTGTTTAGTTTGTGAATCTTAATGTGAATGACCTTTGACAATGACCCGGATTAAATGAACTACATTTACCTGATGTGATATCACAACATTGCAAAAAGGTAGGCAAAAAAAAACAAATGGCCAAGATTAATTCGGCGGAATGAGAACATCCGATGTCACTGCTTTATTTTATTACATGAATGTGTAATACAATACGGCACCTAATTTTGCAACTTTCTGCGTGAAGCATTAGTGTTTTTGCACGAAATATTAGTTTTCACCAGAATTGATATAAAATTTGTAGTGCAGTGGTATATATTAAATTTAATTTAATGATAAAAATTTAAAATGATGAAGTAGCTTATATCATGTTATAAAGTTATTTATTTCAGTTGTGTTTGTCTACATTTTTAAACTTCTGTAAGATATATTCAATTTATAAATCAATTATAACACATAGTGAAAACGTTAACAATATTAAAAATACTACATTGTAATAATCTAATATTCCAAAAAAGAAAATTATTATCGTTATACATTTCTTCTTTTTATTAACAAATAAATAGTACTTGTTAATACTTAAAATGGAAAAAATATCTTATTCATTCATGTAAAGTAAAATAATTATCTGTTTATTCCTTTGTCATTCACTACGTATTAAAAATGAAGTAAAAACTAGGTTAGTGACCGAATAATACGGTAGATCCAAAAAGGGGTTTAAATAATGATTGAAAATATTTTTTGTGAGTGCAACTAAGTGAGTGCATTTTGAAAATATTTTTAATCGTATATTTGTATTCCTCTCATTTTTTCCTATCTTCCCTTAAAATTAATGACATTATGACTGGATCACCCTGTATATAAGAAAATATTTTAAAATGTATGTAAGAAATATATTTTTTCAATATCAGCTATATTTACAGCCGAATAAATTCCCTATTCAAAGAAAAGTAATTTATAATTACCATCATCAATAAATATTACACTTATACCTCAAATACATTGTTGGAAATTGAATGTGGCAGGAACTGTTTTGTCATTTGTAACTTCCTATTCACCGCTGATATGATGGAAAATAAAGATAAATTCTGAACAAAACACTATCACTTTGGCCAAACACTCTAGCAAGACAAAATTACCACAAAAATTTCAAATTTTTTACACTTTTGTGGTCACCTGGTATCTTACCATAATCGGCTATATCATATCGTTCCTATAATATTGGTTGAATCACACCAAATTTTATTATAAGTTTGGTAAAATGGCCATTGGGCAAAATATTTTACATTTGTCAAAAATATTAATGCAAGTCATTTTGTCAGGTACTGCCATATCTTGGAGAAATATTACAAATAGGTTATCAGAAACTGCATAGGATTTATGATTAAACTCGTGAAATTCATTTTAAACAGAGTGGAAAGTTTAACTGGAACTAATTCCATAACTTAATAAATAAAGGTTTGTCGCAAAATTTCTGAAACATCAATTTTTGGTGGAGCTAATTTTTTTTAAATGGAAGGGTAGATTGATTATTTTTTTATTTTAAAGCTTTTCAATTGCAAATACAATTACGTATTTTTTTTGTTATTTTTTAGAAGCAATGTGTAGGAAAAACATAAAATAAGGACTAGGTACTTTAATGCAAAAAAATTTCTAAGTGCTGTCTACCTTGTTGCTGACAATTCCGAACACTTTGTAAAAATATATACATTAAAGAAGTTTCAGTAAACATTTCCTTATTTTATTTCTTCCGATACATTGGTTATAAAAAATAACAAAAAAAAATACGTAATTGTATTTGCAATTGAAAAACCTTTAAAATAAAAAAATAACCTACCCTTCCATTTAAAAAAAAAGTTGAGTGTTGCTGCAACCCTCCATATAATTAAAAATATAAACGAACCTCTTTGTAATATGTCCCATTGAAAATAAAAATTCACATGCTTCAGGAATTTTGCAACAAACCTTTATTTATTAAGTTACAGAATTTGTGCCAGTTAAACTTTTCACTCTGTATAAAGAAAAAACATAACTGACATTTAAGTATCCAAAAAATTTTTTTAAATTACAGGGTGCCAAAAAAATTACATTCTCATTTTGATCGTGATTCCGATGAGTCAAGCTGGATAATTTTAAAAGATACAGAATTTTTAATTTTCAATAGTTTTTTTTTGTGATGTCGAATAACTTTTTATTTTGTTGAATTTAAAAAAAATAAATAAATTTTCCATGTAATGCAGAATGTAGGTTATTATGGAAGAAAATTGCAGTTTTTGCAACTTTTTTTTATTTTTTGGTTATAGCCGAAAATTATAAATTTAGCTATTTTGGGTAACTTCCAGTATGAAATGTTTACATTTTAAATTATAGATACTTTTGCTAAAAATCTAGTGGCATTAATTATTAACTTTAAAATTCTAAAATAACTGATTTTAGATTTGTGGATTAGTTTCATTATTTTTTTTTATGGAAATCATAGTTAGCCATCGCTTAGTTAAAATGAAATGAGGGTGTTTTTCCAAAAATATGTGGTTTGTCATACTTGTCCCAAAAAGTAAAAAAGTCAAGTATATCCGTTTCTATATTTTCTAAATTAAAAAAATTTAAATTGAACATGTCCAAAAACAAATGGAAAAAGCGTACATATAGTTGGTGGCGTAAATAGAAAAATAATATAAAAATACATCATTCATAAGTGAAAATATGTATAAGATAAAGTACCAACATTCCAGAAAAACGATTAATCAATTAGCAGTTATAGGGTCGTTCAAAATGTCAAAATTATAACTATAACTCCAGAACTAAAATATATCTTGGAGACAACTACTCTGCAGGATAATCCCCATGTAGAGAAACTTGTTGATCGTTAGGAGGAGGTTATAAATAACTGATTGACCTATTGATAACACAGCTACACAAAAAAAAATCTAAAAAATTACTTCTCGGGTCTGACTATGTCTACTATATGTTTTCGGACTAGCTGAATCCGAATCCGAGGTCCATTTAACCCCATCACATTAGGATTTTTCATAACCTTAAAAAATAGGCCCAAAAACCCAATAAATCCACTCTCCATTGACAACTCAACTCCTATAACCCCATAACCCCTTAATCTTATAACTCCGTAACCTCAAAACCCTATAACCCCGACACCCACACCCTTTCGTTGGGGGAGCCTACATTCTGCCGAATCCAGGAACAACAACGAAGATGTAGAAGGCTACTGTTCGCTTTAGGGTGCTTTATTAGATACTGGGGATCCGACCCCTGCATCGTAATTTTTTGCCGTGTGTTTGCCATGATGTCATGAAAGAAGCTGTTATCCCGGGTCTCTGCCGGATGACGCAATAACTTTGTTGTCCACCGTTAGCCACGTGGAGGTGCCCCGGGTTGTAAACATAAGAATAAGTAGTACAACAGTGATATACAAAGTTTGATTCATGAGAGTTTGTACATAAGTTTATTCTTGACTGGGTTTTGAGGTTATGGGGCCATGGGGTTATGGGATTATTGGGGAGTAATTGTTTAAAGGTCAAGAAGCACGTATGGCTCGAACATACTGTGTTACAGGGCTTAAACGTGCATAAGTCTGTTTCTTACCGGGTTATAGATGTCGGGATTATGAGGATTGGAGGTTACGGGGTTATAGGATTAAGGGGTTATAAGTGAGTGGTCAATAGATAGAGGATTTATTGGGTGTTTGGGCCTATTTTTTAAGGTTATGAAAAATCCTGACCTGATGGGGTTAAATGGACCCCAGATTTGAATTTAGCAACTCTGAAAATATTTGGTAGACATAGTTCAACCTAAGAAGTAATCTTTTCAATTTTCTTTGTGGAGCTGTGTTATCAATAGGTTAATCAGTTATTTATGACCTCCTCCCAACGTTCAACAAGTTTCTCAATGTCTTTTCTGTAGAAATCCTCCGGTTTTTACTCAAAAAAACTCGCCCAACCAAGCTCTTAACTCATTGTCGTTGTTAACAGAAACACCATGTAAGGAGTTTGACAAAGAGCGAAAGAGGTGAAAATCAGATGTGTTAAAAACAAAATATCTTAAATTTGAAAAAAAAAAATGGATATTACTTATTCCCCAACCCAATAGTAAAAACTAAATAGTAGACCTACCTACAAAAATGAAAAATGTTTACATATAAAAGTTATTCGACGTTACAGAAAACAACAAAAAGTTAAAAACACCCGTATCCCTTAATAAATTAATATATTGAGAAGCAGTTTCTGCAGCCAACTTTTTTCAAAACTGATCCTAGGATATCTGCGTACAAGAAACCACCCAAAAGCATCAAAATTATAATAATAAATTTTTCCCTAAGTCTCCATATACCAAAATTAGAATGTTTTAAATCTCAAAACAATATTTAATATATGTGATTTGTAGCACCCTGTATATTCCGCAACAATTAAGTATTATGTATTAGTATAAAGGGATGCCTATTGAAAAAAAAGTCTTTCAAACAACCCAATATTTTATTAATCTCCATTATAAATTAAGATTTGCATATTCACGCTGGACATTGATCTCGCAACTAACTAATTAACTAAGAATAATATTCCAAATAAATAAATAAAGTCAAATCCACTTTAATTGAACGATTTCTTTGACGCTCGATGATCTGCTATGAGTTTCAGCAGTAGCTGCCTCTTACTTTTCACAGATACCAATTTATTAATGGGCGTATTTACCTTATGGTGTTGTTGAGCAAAACCTTCTTTGACTAGCTTGTCGTTTATATAAAAACTGTTGTCCTCCTCCGTCACATCCGCCAGGTACACTTCCAAGTATTGCTCCTGAAACAAAATGAAATTTGTTTAAGTGTTCATTCTCTGTACACTCCTCAGGTACCGCTGCAGGGTCGGGAGCGCGGGCGCTAGCGTTGGAGGAGGAGACTATCGCTCTCCCACTATGACGATTTTATGACAAATGTATTTAGAATATTTAGAATTTGTGCCACTAACGTTACAAATTTTACTTCAATAATTGTATTCGAATTGATACAACTATTATACCGTAAGTGTCGAAGTTGTACAAACAATTTTTGTCGCATAGCAAAATTGAGTGACTGACATCCTGCAGACAACAATTTAATTTTTTAATGCTCCTCTTTTTATTTTTGTTTTTATGTAACACTGCAGTCACTCGCAGCTAAAATTATATACGTATTGTCTTTCCAAAATATTTTAAATTTTATTTGTCATAAATCAAAGGCTGTATTAAATAGAAATGAATCGTATGTAAAATTGTAATGTTAGTGGTTAAGTTGTAAGATCGTATAGAATATTATATCAACTTCTGATTGGTACAATTATCGCAACGTTTGTTAGATACATTTACCCTTTGTACCGTTTTCCCTTAGTAGGTTATTTTGAATATGTTGGATCAACACACCCTATTGTCAAATAAAATGAGCCACAAATATATTTGAACGTCAATAACTGCAAAAACCTTGAAATATAAAAGGACCACACACTAATTGCTTTAAAACGGTCTCGGTCAAAATTGAAAATTGCTGTGAATACAAGGTATTTTGGCCTCTGGCCTCTAAAGTTCAGATCATAAAAACCTCGGCAGATGCTTTGTGTTTTTGTTTTTGGCCATTTTTACACATTTTTTTTAGTATATCAGACACGCGTGTAGATGGAGGAAAAACGCAATGCGGATAGCCAGGTCACACCCATTTACAAGGAATGTAAAGCCCATGAACATACCGTCACATCAATTTTGAAAAAACTATTACACAACAGCCGTAGGAGACAATTTTGTCTTTCGATTATTTTTTTATTTCGGTAGCCATATTTATTCGTTTTCCAAATAAGTGTTAGGGGCGGAACGCAAGATATGGTCTATTTCAAGTGCACGACGGACAATGAGCTTCCAAGTAATAAAGGACAAAGAGAAACGATAAGAAAATCCACTTACTTTCCGGTTTATGTGGCTGATCTTCGCTGTTATACACCTGTGGATGGTCATTTTTCTGAATGCTCTGCATGCCTCTCTAGTCCAGGGCGCTCCCTCTTCCAGAGGGAAGACGTTGGCGAGCCTACACCTTATGGCTTGGGCTTCTAGTTCACTAAATTTGATGTGTAAGAAACACAGGCCTTTGGCGGGAACCTTGGTCATGGTGCCATAATCAACAAATATTACCTGAAAAGCAGTTTATATACAGGGTATACCGTTTAACACAGATTCTTCCATAGTTGAACCAAATATCTAACCCATATGCGACACTCTTTTGATAAGGCACAAATGCCGCCGTTGACCTTGTCCATTTAAACTGGATGCTAAACATTGCCAGAGATTGGGCAATAAAAATTGACATATGAAGAAAGTGTTGCCAATTCGAAATATTGAATGAACATAACATAAAATGCCTACACCTATATTTATCACAATTTTCACTTAATTGATAAAGAGTCTGTCTAAACGGGATGATAAATTAAATAACTAATGTTTTAAAATTCTGCTAAGTGTTTATTTTTACATTTTTTATATTAGTTTTACTAGTTTTACTAAAATTTTGATTAATAGTTTTTATGTGGTAGTAAATTAGTAGAATTACAAGTAACTTTATTTAGTAGTCCAAAAGAAAATTTAGACAGGGATGTTGAACTGGAGGTACATCTGTTATTTAACTGAGATGAATATTAGACAAGGCGAAATCGGCGGCTTCGTATGAAAAAATTAGTGGTTTTCTAAACAAAATATTTTCTATGCACTATGCTCCTAAAATCAACGGTTTCCGAGTTAATAAGCAATTTAAAGTACGAAAAAATGCAAAAACGGTCATTTTCAAGACTCAAAAGTAATAACAAAAAATCAAATTTTTGATGTTACTAAAGTTCTCTTTAAACATCCCTTGATAAAGTACTGAGTAGTTATTTGGTATAATTACATTGCAATGTAACAATATACATTTTGACTTGCGCGCCGCGCCGCTCGGGCACTCCATTGTGCGCCGACCCCGTGTATATATTCATCACCTCACTTTTTGATATATTTTAGCAATGCTGCATTTTTATTTATTTAAATTATTTTTTGTTTATTGAATATTATTTATAATATATAATCTATTTATGTATTATAAATAATATATAATATAA